TGATCGTCCTGAGCCGCTTCGAGCTGTTCCACATCTTCAGCTCTGCAGACTGCAGGAAGAGACTCCGAGAGGCCAGCAAGGTGTGTTATTTAGTGGGAATGCTGTGTCAGCATTCCCACTAAATGTTATTCTATGGACAAGATTATTATTATTCCGCCGGAACTTTGCACCTCTTCTCCTCCCACATTCCACATCGCAGAGAACTCCGGTTCAAACATCAAAACGTTCAGCATCGGTCGGGGAATCGATGGCTATTACTTTATCATTCATAACTTTCATAGTTCCAGAGATACATCCCATAATGCATCACATTTTTAACCATGGAAGTCAATGGAGAAAATCTTCAGACTTGAACAATCTTCATGCGACTTCAACTGCTAACTGTTCATTCATACTTTCACTCAGAAACCTCATTCCAACTTTAAAATGTTACACATCTTTCTGACATTATTCGTGTAACACAACTTTTAAATCTGATTCTTACTTTTAGAGATATTAAACATTGTTCAGACCTTGGTAAAGAGGTTTTCTTCAGATTTTAACATTAACTAGAGTGCGTGATGTCACAGCTAGAGGGTATGAAATCTTGAAATTTGCCTTCATATATTTTTTTAAACTGCCATAATTCCCAAACCCTACATTCCTGAGACATCATTTTTCATGACAAACGTAGGAAAACATCTCGTAGCTTGAAAAATGACAAATAATTAAGCAAAAATAATTAAACAAAAACTTCGCTTGTATATCACCGGTCCAGCCCTCAACAGCTCTACGTCAATTATGGGGTTTCTTCAAATGCCGTTGCCATGGCAACACAATGCTCGCCATGAAACACGGTTTTCTCATAACTTCAGTGAAAATGCTCCAAACGGCCCAAAACTTCACAGGTTTGGTAACGATGTAGCCATCAACACATCTAAGCGCATTATGGGGTGTCATCAAATGCCGTTGCCATGGCGACAGATCATTCGCCATCAAGTTAGTGCAAAAGTTTGCAGTTCAAATATTCTGCTGCTTTTCCAAGCCTTTTTACTCTCTTCTCTCATCACACATTCAAGCCCCCAGTGTTCATGTATCATCTCAATCTAAATTCTTCACTTTCTTACACATTACATTTCAGCATAGCAGTTCAGCGTCAGCTTTTCAGCATAAAGCATTCCCACTAGCAATTTCTTCAGGAATTGCATTCTCTAGTTACACATGTTATTGTACATGTTATTACACATGTTATTTCACTTGTTATTACAACGCTGTTATATCTTATTACCCATGTTATTAGACATGTTATTACACATCTTATTACACATCTTATTACAGCACTGTGTTATATCTTATTACAGCACTTTATTATACCTTATTACACATGTTATTACACATATTATTACACATCTTATTACACATCTTATTACAGCGCTGTTATTTCTTATTACACATGTTATTACACATGTTATTACAAAACTGTGTTATATCCTATTACACATATTATTACACATGTTATTACACATCTTATTACAGCGCTGTTATTTCTTATTACACATGTTATTACACATGTTATTACAAAACTGTGTTATATCCTATTACATATATTATTACACATGTTATTACACGTGAGCAGAGCAATAGCCTATAGGCAAAACACAGAAGATCAACAAGAGATATGACATCAAATGAACCAAAGCTGAAGTAGACGGTCAGCTTCATTCACTTTCTTTCCAATTGACTGATTGTAATGGCTATACGCTGCTCTCTCTCGTCTCCTCTTCACAACTAAACTTTACGCGGCACACATAGTTACAGCCAATCAGATCTCTGAATTATGAGATGACGTTTGGTAGGTATGTCAGCACAGTGCCCCCATGGTGATTATTTTTTTGCCGCACACATTGAATAGAAAAAGACTCTGAGCATGCGCAGTGTAGTTTTTACAGCACCCATTCACTTAGACAGTGAGAGAGAGGGGCTTGACCCACGTCGCTCAACACGGCTCAATAGGCACACTGTAGACACTAATTAGAAGAACACAGACTAAAACAGCAAAGTACAGACGAATCAGATGATTAAACATGATCTTAACATTTATTTTAACATTTATTTTAACATTTATTTTTTTGCATATTTTGGGAAATATTATTTGCATTACTCTCTGCTGACACTAGGTGGGGTTGTGCCCCACCTGCCCCTAATGACAAGTCACCACTGCTTATTACACATGTTAGTACAGCGCTGTTTTATCGTATTACACATGTTATTAAACATGTTATTACAGCACTGTGTTATAACTTATACTGACTGTGTGTGTGTGTGTGTGTGTGTGTGTGTGTGTGTGTGTGTGTGTGTGTGTGTGTGTGTGTGTGTGTGTGTGTGTGTGTGTGTGTGTGTGTGTGTGTGTGTGTGTGTGTGTAGGATCTGGTGCAGCAGAACAACACTCTGATAGAGGAGATGCTGCACCTCATCATCATGGTGGTTGGTGAGTTCAGACTCTGACCACAGAGGGAAAGGAACATTGTCACAGTAACAGTAAAACGCCCACATATTAATTAAGAGGCATGCATAAAATATTAGAGCTAGAAATAAAATAAATGACAATTTACAAAAAGTACCCATGCAGGTAACAGTAAAGTAAAAGTATGGCACAGTTATTACAGACTGTGTGTGTGTGTGTGTGTGTGTGTGTGTGTGTGTGGTGTGTGTGTGTGTGTGTGTGTGTGGTGTGTGTTGTGTGTGTGTGTGTGTGTGTGTGTGTGTGTGTGTGTGGGTGTGTGTGTTGTCGCGCAGGTGAGAGGTATGTCTCAGGTGTGGGACAGGTAGAGCCCTTCGATGAGGTCAGAAGAGAAATCATCCACCAGCTGTCAATTAAACCGATGGCTCACAGCGAGCTGGTGAAGGCTCTGCCCGAGAACGTGAGACACATACCTGTCTGTCTGTTTACCTGTGTCTCTATTTACCTGTCTGTTTACCTGTGTCTCTATTTACCTGTCTGTCTGTTTACCTGTGTCTCTATTTACCTGTCTGTTTACCTGTGTCTCTATTTACCTGTCTGTCTGTTTACCTGTGTCTCTATTTACCTGTCTGTCTGTTTACCTGTGTCTCTATTTACCTGTCTGTCTGTTTACCTGTCTGTCTGTTTACCTGTCTGTCTGTTTACCTGTGTCTCTATTTGTCTGTACCTGTTCCTTCTGTTCCTGACCTGTCTGTCTGTTTACCCTGTGTCTCTATTACCTGTCTGTCTGTTTACCTCTGTCTCTATTTACCTGTCTGTTTACCTGTGTCTCTATTTACCTGTCTGTCTGTTTACCTGTCTGTCTGTTTACCTGTCTGTCTGTTTACCTGTGTCTCTATTTACCTGTCTGTCTGTTTACCTGTGTCTCTATTTACCTGTCTGTCTGTTTACCTGTCTGTCTGTTTACCTGTGTCTCTATTTACCTGTCTGTCTGTTTACCTGTCTGTCTGTTTACCTGTCTGTCTGTTTACCTGTGTCTCTATTTACCTGTCTGTCTGTTTACCTGTCTGTCTGTTTACCTGTGTCTCTATTTACCTGTCTGTCTGTTTACCTGTCTGTCTGTTTACCTGTGTCTCTATTTACCTGTCTGTCTGTTTACCTGTCTGTCTGTTTACCTGTGTCTCTATTTACCTGTCTGTCTGTTTACCTGTGTCTCTATTTACCTGTCTGTCTGTTTACCTGTCTGTCTGTTTACCTGTGTCTCTATTTACCTGTCTGTCTGTTTACCTGTCTGTCTGTTTTTCTCTTCAGGGGAACAAGGAGACGGGTCTGGAAAGAGTCATCGACAGTGTTGCTTCATTCAAGTGAGTTTACTTTAACATATCCACTTTAAATACACTGTGAGTCCACCTTAAATACACGTCAGTCCACCTTAAATACACTTCAGTCCACCTTAAATACATGTCAGTCCACCTTAAATACACGTCAGTCCACCTTAAATATACGTCAGTCCACCTTAAATACACGTCAGTCCACCTTAAAGGGGACCTATCATGCAAAATGCACTTGTGTACATCTTTTCTACATGAATATGTGTCCCCGGTGTTCCAGGGAACTCACCAAGTGTCAGAAAACACAACCCTCTCTATTTTCCTCCATACCCAAATCTCTAAAAAAGGGGCTGCAACGGATCTGATAAAAACTGATCCAGATTTGAACACTGTCCTGACGTCAGGACGGTGGCGCTACGGCTATTGGGCCAACTCCACCAATCAGGAGGAGACAGCCACGGCCATTGCCGTTCGAAAGCGCTGGAGACGCTGTAGTACATATGCCAGGCCAGTAGGTGGTGCTGTTCTCACTGAATCTGCCCTTGCTAAAACAGAGCTAAAAAATGTCAAATTGAGCAAAATGAGGCATGGCTAAAATGCATGATCTGTTTGGTATTTTGAAAAAAAGAAAGTATAAATATGCCTCATATAGGTATGGTCCTACACTATATTATTATAATATAGCATGATAGGTCCACTTTAAATAGACTTCAGTCCACCTTAAATACACGTCAGTCAACCTTAAATACACGTCTGTCTCTAGTACACTTACTGTGTGTACTGACTGTAGTACTGACTGTAGTACTGACTGTGTGTATTGTGTGTACTGCCTGTGTGTATTTTGTGTACTGTGTGTACTGACTGTGTTTATTGTGTGTACTGTGTGTACTGACTGTGTTTATTGTGTGTACTGTGTGTACTGAGTGTGTACTGATTGTCCAGGAAGCCGGGGGTGACGGGGCGGGGTCTGTACGAGCTGCAATCTGATTGGCAGAAACACTTCAACCTGTATTTCCATCACTACAGCCGAGCGGACCAGTCCAAGGTAATTCTGACGGGTGGGGGGGTCTGTGTGATGTCATGGCAACGGGCTGTGTTGTCATGGTAACGGGCTGCAGGGTTTCCCACACATAGACTTTACTTGGGCGGGCCGCCCAGGTATATTAACGGCCGTCCAAGTATATTTCGCGACCCATTTAGGGGCGAGAGGAGGGAGAGGAGGAGAGGAGGGAGAGGAGCAGGGGGGGAAGGAGCAGGGGGGGGGAGGGGCGAGAGGAGGGAGACAGGAGAGGCTGGTTCAGGAGCACAGACACACTCACAACTATAAATGAACCAAAAATCAATAAATAAACAAGTTTCAGTGTTTTTTCATATTGGATATGGTATGTTGTTGTTGATGGATGGTATGTTGTTGTTGATGGATGGTATGTTGTTGTTGATGGATGGTATGTTGTTGTTGATGGATGGTATGTTGTTGTTGATGGATGGTATGTTATTGGTTATGGCCATGTTCTTATGATGTAATGATTATTGAAATGTGTACAGTTCTGTTTCATATAGGTGTTCCCATAGATCTAGTCTCTTTATTTGCCCCTCAAAGTGCACCAGATTGATGCATGCCCCCGGACCCCCCTAGAGGATTTGAGGTCGACCCCCACTTCAAATCACATGGATAGGTTCCTAAATACATTTACCATTTGTTTTAAATAGTGACCCATGTCCATATGTTTATGTGTGGGTAGTAGATTGAAACTATAGGGCTGTCACTACGGGCCCTGCCTGGACCTGCTTGCTCTGCCATGGGGGGAAGGGTCTGCTAACAAGCGCCCAACTGAAAGGGTCATGTTCATGTTGGTGCACGTCACAAAGGCACGTCACCTCACCCCCCCCCCCCCCCCCCCCCCCCCGCTACCAGCACCCCCCCAAGTATATTTCAGATCTGTGGGCTGTGTTGTGTGTTGCAGGCTGAGGAGGCTCAGAGGAAGCTGAGGAGACAGAGAGGAGAAGACACAGGTAACTCACCTGGGGAACACACCTGTGACACACACCTGGGGAACACACCTGGGGAACACACCTGGGGAACACACCTCGGGAACACACCTGGGGAACACACCTGGGGAACACACCTGTGACACACACCTGGGGAACACACCTGGGGAACACACCTGGGGAACACACCTGGGGAACACACCTCGGGAACACACCTGGGGAACACACCTGGGGAACACACCTGGGGAACACACCTGGGACACACACCTGGGGAACACACCTCGGGAACACACCTGGGGAACACACCTGGGGAACACACCTCGGGAACACACCTCGGGAACACACCTGGGGAACACACCTGGGGAACACACCTGGGGGAACTACAGGTACACTATCATACTGATGAGGAGGAGGAGCATTAATGTGTGTGTGTGTGTGTGTGTGTGTGTGTGTGTGTGTGTGTGTGTGTGCGTGTGCGTGTGTGTGTGTGCGTGTGTGTGCAGCCCTCCCCCCCCCTCTCCCCCCCCCTCTCTCTCCTCTCTTCAGTAGCTTGGTGAACCTGCTTCAGTCTGACCTGATGCTCGCTCTGCAGGGGGCCGTGCTGCTGTGGGCCGGAGAGCCCAGTGGAGGGGGGTGGACCGAGGCCATTCTGCAGAGGGTGAGACAGGGAGGGGTGAGACAGGGAGGGGAGGGGGGGGGGTACAGGGAGGGGTGAGACAGGAAGGGGTGAGACAGGGAGGGACACATCAAGTCTCTTAAGGCCCTGACATACCTGGCCGAAATCGGCCGTTTTCGTTAGTCGGACGACGAAGCGTGCCCTGTCGCCCAAACTCAATTTGGTGTGTCCCGCACCATCGGCCGTGACACGCCTTATTTGGCCTTTCATGGCCGTGCGTCGGCCACAGGCAGTCGGACAAAGAAATCACTCTGATTGGCTGTTCAGCTAGCGAATCAGTGCATGAGAAGCGAAACGGTTGCTTGAGAATGTCTTCCACAAGCAACACTCCAATGGCTGATAGCTGTGTGTGTGTGTGTGTGTGTGTGTGTGTGTGTGTGTGTGTGTGTGTGTGTGTGTGTGTGTGTGTGTGTGTGTGTGTGTGTGTGTGTGTGTGTGTGTGTGTGTGTGTGTGTGTGTGTGTGTGTGTGTGTGTGTGTGTGTGTGTGTGTGTGTGTAGGTGCTGCACCTGGTGGGTCTGGCTCTCCTGGAGGAGCAGCAGCAGCTGGAGACCAGAGGAGAGGAGGACGTCTCCTTCAGATACAGCTGCAAGATCACCCGTCAGTACTATATATGTATTATATTTAATATATTTGTTATGTATCATGTGGTGGGGTATCTACCTGTGCTCAGGACCAGGTGAGGCCCCCAGTGTTATGATATGTTATATATACTGTGCTCAGGTCCAGGTGAGGCCCCCAGCCCCTCTGGCAGTGTGCTGGCTCTGCTGGAGAGTCTGCAGAACGCTCCTCACCTGGAGGTCCACAAAGACATGATCACCTGGATCCTGAAGGTGAGTCACTCCTCTAAAGCAGGGGTTCCCAAACTTTTCAGCCTGCAACCCCCAAAATATCAGTGCCAGTGTCGACCCCATGTCAACGGGGGAGGGGGGGGGGGGGGGTTGCTAGTGAATTAATTAATTAATTAAAGTTTTCCGCACTCTCGCGGGAATATCTCCGCAATGGAGCGAGCTTAACTTTCGATTGCATGATATAGCCCAGCGCAACACCTTCGTCACACATGTTGCCACGTGTTTGTACCGTTTTCAGGCGATTTGTAATCTGTTCTAGAAAAACGATGTGTTTTTGTTTTATTTCAAGAAGCGTATAAAACAAACAATGGATGTATTTATGAACATTTCTCCACGCTGGAAGTAGATTTAGATGTTAGGAGTGAGATAGAGAGTATAATATGTGCATCCAATGAAGCATTGCATGAAGCCTGTTGATGATCAGAGGCTGTTGTTGGGGCAGACCATGCAGGCCAGCCCGATGGTCACCAAGGTTCATGTTTTAATAGCATTTTTACAAAAAAGCCCAGACGAGCCTAACGTGTGAACAAAGGGCTCAGAGAGTTAAACTTGTTTAGTTTTGAAAATCCACAGCGGAGGTTTGTGTCGAACTACATGAGGTGTGTTTTGCATTTCTCTCAGTAGCCAACGATCTGTGAGTCTGTTAGCTCGGACTAAACTCCGTAATAAATGTAGTCTACATTTCATAAGAGGTGTAAAACCTGAGAGCATTTTAAATCTTATTTGAACTAAATGCTGATATAATCTGTAGTTGTATTTGTATTGTTGATTTCATGTGTGAACGAGACGATGTAGAGAAGTGAAGCTGTCATTATCAGGCTGTTATGTTGGAGTGGTGAGCTTAGTATGAAACAGTTTGAGAAACACTGCGCTAGTGGATTGTCAACGGGGGGAGCCTCGCTGCGGGGAAATTATACACATGGCCAGTCTGCCCCTGAAAAATGTCTCTGCACCCGTCATTATTAATAATAATTTAAAAAAATGTATACATTTCTCTTTTTTATTTTACCTTTTAAAAAAAAAAAATTTAATTTTAATTTTGTAATCATCTCGCGACCCCCACTCGGGGTCTCGACCCCCACTCGGGGTCTCGACCCCCACTTTGGGAACCCCTGCTCTAAAGAACCACCAGCTGGGGTCTGAAGGACCTCCAGCTGGGCTCTGAAGGACCACCAGCTGGGCTCTGAAGGACCTCCAGCTGGGCTCTGAAGGACCACCAGCTGGGCTCTGAAGGACCTCCAGCTGGGCTCTGAAGGACCACCAGCTGGGCTCTGAAGGACCTCCAGCTGGGCTCTGAAGGAGAGGTGTGTCTGATGATGACGAGTGTGTTTGTGTTCAGATGGTGGCTAACGTGAAAACCATGAGAGAACGATCGTCCTGCAGCTCCACCGTCACCGTGAGACCAGGACAAGGACTGGAGGAGGTACCACACACAAACACACACACATTTGAATACTTTATTTGGTTCCACAAATTATATTACATAAGACAGGGAATCAAATATATCGGGGCTAAGCAGCACAGAACACTGAGGGGAACACATAGCATCTCCTTCTCCACACGGCTAAGCAGCACAGAACACTGAGGGGAACACATAGCATCTCCTTCTCCACACGGCTAAGCTGCACAGAACACTGAGGGGAACACATAGCATCTCCTTCTCCACACGGCTAAGCTGCACAGAACACTGAGGGGAACACATAGCATCTCCTTCTCCACACGGCTAAGCTGCAGCTGAAACAGAGCAATATTTGGCCATTTGTTTGCTCTTTGACATTCCAGCAATTCTCAGACGCGGTGCATTTATATACATGGCCAAGACTTCCGAATATGAGTATGCTATATCTACACTTGTACCCAAAGCTGGTTATCACATGGAGCAGTGGTTGGTATTTGATATACTTGTCCTGGAAAGCCTGGTCCATGTGCAGGTCAAAGGAACAGCCTACTTCTAATATTAGCACCTCCCTGTGGTTGGTGTCAACAAAAACAACACACACACACACACACACACACACACACACACACACACACACACACACACACACACACACACACACACACACACACCTGTCTCAGTCTGAGTGTGTGTCTCTGCAGACGCTGCACGACAGAGATCAGTTGGAGAGGAAGAGGAAGGCGGAGATGGCTCGGCTGCGGAGGGAGAAGATCATGGCTCAGATGTCCGAGATGCAGAAACACTTCATCAACGAGAACAAGGATCTGTTCCTGGAGGCCTCAGGGTCCACTGCGGAGAGCAGGTACACCTGTACACACCTGGGTACACCTGACCACACCTGTATACACCTCTACACACCTGTACACACCTGTATATACCTGGGTACACCTTTACACACCTGTACACACCTGTATATACCTGGGTACACCTGTACACACCTGTACACACCTGGATACACCTGTATATACCTGGGTACACCTTTACACACCTGTATATACCTGGATACACCTTTACACACCTGTACACACCTGTATATACCTGGGTACACCTGTACACACCTGTACACACCTGGATACACCTGTATATACCTGGGTACACCTTTACACAACCTGTACACACCTGTACACACCTGGGTACACCTGACCACACCTGTATACACCTCTACACACCTGGGTACACCTGTACACACCTGTATATACCTGGATACACCTTTACACACCTGTACACACCTGTATACACCTCTACACACCTGTACACACCTGTATATACCTGGATACACCTTTACACACCTGTACACACCTGTATATACCTGGGTACACCTGTACACACCTGTACACACCTGGATACACCTTTACACAACCTGTACACACCTGTATATACCTGGGTACACCCTTACACAACCTGTACACACCTGTATATACCTGGATACACCTTTACACACCTGTACACACCTGTATATACCTGGGTACACCTGACCCACACCTGTATACACCTCTACACACCTGTATACACCTGTACACACCTGTATATACCTGGGTACACCTGTACACACCTGTATATACCTGGGTACACCTGTACACACCTGTATATACCTGGGTACACCTGTACACACCTGTATATACCTGGGTACACCTGTACACCTATCCACTTCTGCAGAAAGCAAGCACACCTGTACACCAGGCTGATAAATGGTTTCTGGTCCCCTCCCAGTCCCCCCAGGTCGGACCCCCCCTGTGTGTCTCAGGTGTGTTTGGGCCCCCGGAGGTCAGGTGCAGCGCTGCGCCGTCAGCTGGTTACCTGCATCCTGTGCCAGGAGGAGCAGGAGGTCAGAGGTCAGGGCAGAGCCATGGTGCTGGCTGCCTTCGTCCAGAGGTCCACCGTCCTGTCCAAGAACCGCCGTCGCAGCTTACCTGAGCCAGGTGAGCGTCTCTCTGACATCATCAGGGCGTCACTCTGACATCATCAGGGCGTCACTCTGACATCATCAGGGCGTCACTCTGACATCATCAGGGCGTCACTCTGACATCATCAGGGCGTCACTCTGACATCAGGGCGTCACTCTGACATCAGGGCGTCACTCTGACATCATCAGGGCGTCACTCTGACATCATCAGGGCGTCACTCTGACATCATCAGGGCGTCACTCTGACATCATCAGGGCGTCACTCTGACATCAGGGCGTCACTCTGACATCATCAGGGCGTCACTCTGACATCAGGGCGTCTCTCTGACATCATCAGGGCGTCACTCTGACATCATCAGGGCGTCACTCTGACATCAGGGCGTCACTCTGACATCAGTGCGTCACTCTGACATCATCAGGGCGTCACTCTGACATCATCAGGGCGTCACTCTGACATCATGGGCGTCACCTCTGACATAGGGCGTCACCTGATCATCAGGGGGCATCACTCTGACATCAGGGCGTCACTCTGACATCAGTGCGTCACTCTGACATCATCAGGGCGTCACTCTGACATCATCAGGGCATCACTCTGACATCAGTGCGTCACTCTGACATCATCAGGGCGTCACTCTGACATCATCAGGGCGTCACTCTGACATCATCAGGGCATCACTCTGACATCAGGGCGTCACTCTGACATCAGGGCGTCACTCTGACATCATCAGGGCATCACTCTGACATCAGGGCGTCACTCTGACATCAGGGCGTCACTCTGACATCATCAGGGCGTCACTCTGACATCAGGGCGTCACTCTGACATCATCAGGGCATCACTCTGACATCAGGGCGTCACTCTGACATCAGTGCGTCACTCTGACATCATCAGGGCGTCACTCTGACATCATCAGGGCGTCACTCTGACATCATCAGGGCATCACTCTGACATCAGTGCGTCACTCTGACATCATCAGGGCGTCACTCTGACATCATCAGGGCGTCACTCTGACATCATCAGGGCATC